AATAGGGTGGATGTCAGCATCTTTCCTGAATGCCAGAACCAAGACAGTTAGTTTGGAAGCAGAAATCTGACATATGGAAAAATCTAGAGGGGACATGAAGCTAAGGGACTGTTGAGGAAAATGACAGTGAATGGAGGCCAGTAATTTAGAACCTGGAGTTATGCTGATCTGCATTTGCACCGTAGCTTGGCTTGTTCCCAGCTGTGTAACTTCAGCCAGGTTACTTAACTTCACTCTACCTCAGTTTCCTTCTCCACGAAATGGGATGATATTACTATTAACCACTGTCTGGGAGTGCGGTAGGGACTAAAAGGCCTAATGTGTATAAAGCACCTAATATACTGTGTGCCACACAGTGAATGCTCACAAATGATCATTCTTACCAACACTAAAAAGAAAAAGATAGGAAAGAAGTTTCAAGAAGGGGATGGTAAGTAACAATATCAGACATAGCAGATGGGACACAGAGGTACAGGATGGAGAAAAGGTCAAGTATTTGGCAGAGTTCTAGCAGAGCCAGCAAATGAGAGGGCGCCACTGACAGTGGCTAAGAATGAGAGGACGAGGTGGTTTCAGGTATGGAACATTCTAGCAGCGAAGAAAGGCAAGAACAGCTACTAGAAGAGAGGACAGGGAACTGATCTGGGCTGCCACAAAGTCAGAGGGGAAAGCTGCTGGGAGTATGTGATGCTCTGGGACAGAGGTGACACTGTCTTTTAAATCTTTCAAATGTGATCTAAATTTGATACCACATGTCTATCTTTGCTGTGCTAAGCCAGGGGATCTGGGAAGACTGATCTTTTTTTTTTTTTTCAGTAGGAGGGATTCAACTGTCAGGACTGTTGACTGCCCTTATGAGGCAGGCATGGCACCACTGAGCTAAATCCCCGGCTGGGAAGACTGTTCTATAAGTGGAGAATGAACACAAAAAGATACGGTTTTTGGGCAAGTATTGATGATCTAACTTGATTAGAAGGGAGGGAAAAGAGCAGTTTGGACATGGCCTAAGACTTGGACATGCAGAAGCCCAAGGAGCAAGTGGCTAGAAAGTACTGGACTCAGTGTCTGGTAGGAGGTAGGAGGGACTCAGACCCTGGAGATACAAGTTTGATAGCCATCAGAAAGTGGCCACCAGCTACACATGGTGACAAGCCTGTAATCCCAGCACTTGGGAAGCTGAGGCAGGAGGATCAACATGAGTTTGAGGCCAGTCTGACCTACATAATGAGTTCAAGGCCAGCCTTGAGACTCTGTCTCAAGAAACCAAAAAAAAGAAAAAAAGAAAAAAATTAATTTTATTTTTAAAAAAGAATGTGGTCATCAAAGCCAAGGGAATGGATAAAGTAACCTATAAGTGACAGTAGAACAGAATCCCAGAAATATAGGGGTTGGTGGAACACAAGCCAGTAAAGGAGGGGAAAGCTGGGTTAGAGATGCTGTGACAGGGACACTACCTGATGTAGTCAAAAGAGAACCAAAAGTTACCCTCCACTAAATGTCCCAGTGAAGAAGGGGCAGTGGGCCATTGCTGAAGGAGCCTCAATAGAGCAGGGGGGCAGAAACCAGATTTGGCTTTGGTGGCATGTGAAAGGAAGTTGAGGAAGTAGAGATGACAGCAAACTCTGCTTTTCAAGAAATTTGATATTAAAATATTGGGAATGCATAGGCCGGGGATTTAGCTTAGTGGTTCCACTGCCTGCCTCAAAAGCGCAAGGACCGGAGTTCAATCCCAGGTACCAAAAAAAAGGGACTGCATAGGGCAGACCCTGAGGCAGGGTTTCTGTTTCTGCTCAATAATGAATAACAAATGGTACAAGATCCCAATGATGTATGTAAAAGTATTTTATACCTAAAATGTACCAATAAACTTAATGGGGGGGGGGAAGAAAGAGACAATCTGAAAGCCTTGAAAAGAGGCCTTAGAGAAATCAAACCTGCTATCAGCTTGATCTTGGACTTCTATCCACCAGAATTTTGAGAAATAAATTTGTCATTAAATCTACCCAGGCTGGTATTTTGTTATAGCAGACCAAGAATACTAATATAATACAGTAATTAAATATTTAGTTCTGTACTTTTAAAAATTCCTTTCCTTGAAATGGTATACTGAAACTGCAATATTACTATGAATTTCACAAAGGAAAATGGATATGAATGACTCTTCAGTCTGCTTGTACTTGATTCATGTTTTAGTTGAAACTGCCCTCCTGCACACCATTATTTAATAAAATCTCTGTAGCTTAAAACAAATAATGAATAACAGACAGGTGAGACAACTTCAGATGGGTAGGAGCAATGGGGAAGGGAGCAAAGGGCAAAGGAGGAGTCTTTGTTATCTATTTTACTTTAAAATACTGAAACGTTTTGGAGCTGGGGATGTAGCTCAGTGAGTAGAGGATGTCCCCAGCACGTGTAAAAACAGGTTCAATCTCCAACAGTGCAAAAAAGTAACTAACTTTAAAAAAAAAGTCAAGCATGGTGACATACACTTATAATCCCAGCACGTGTGGAGGCTGCAATGCCCCACTCCTCCACTCTTGTGACATTTTCTTATTCTTAGGATAAAAAGGACTCCCTTACTATGAGCTTCCTGTCATCTCACCCCAGGGCCATTACCAGTGCACACCTGGTCAGGCTGACCTTCCAGCCTGGATTTCAGGACACAGGTAAACCGATCCTTAACAGTCTAAGGGAGGAATGGCTATTTCTGTATCCTTCACGGAGCCCCAGTTAGAGTTTTGTTTGCTTATCTTTTCTCTTTCTCTGTTCACTGTGTTCGAAGCTCTGGATATCAGCCCACGGCTCCGCGGGGCCACAGAGCGGACAGTCAGCTGGGAAGAGCACCCCGGCGGGCTCCAGGAACTGCCGACAGAGGGCGTACCGGGACCGGGAGAGGCGCGGCTGCGGTGACGGCTGTGGGGACTCGCGTGCTGGGGAAGTGCAAGCCCGGCGACCCAGCGGCGGGGTGGGGGATCGTGTGCTGCTCCCTGACGCGCTGTCCTGGCTAAAAATATACACTGTCCGGCTCTGCTCCTCATCCCAATGGGGAGAGGCGGCCATCTAGAGCAGTGACTTCTGGGGCATCATTATTTTCGGAAAGTAGATTTACGGTTCCCAGGACAGACTTCTCCAGATCCCTCAAAACCCGGGACAGGGGGCCGGGGATGTAGCTCAGTGGTGCCGCTGCCTGCCTCGCAAGCACAAGGTCCCGAGTTCGATTCCCGGTACCACCCCCACCCCCCAAATAAAAGTGCTTTTGGCTAGGGATTTGGCTCAGTGGTTCCGCCGCCTGCCTGGCAAGCTCAAGGATCCGAGTTCGATCCCTGGCACAAAACAAACAAACAAAAAACCGAGACAAACTTCGCAGCAGGTCTCAGTTTTCTCATCCGCGGATCCAGGGGTAGTCACTGATTCAATACGCGATGAGCCAGGGCAGGTGGTACACACCTATAATGCCGGCTATTCGGGAGACTAAGGCAGCCCAGCCTGGGCAATTTAGTGAGTTTCTGCCTCTAAAAAATAAAGTATTCAAAAGGAGGAGATGGAGCTGCCTAGCACGTGTGAAGCCCTGGGTTCAATCCCTACTGTCATAATCTCTAAATAAACATTGAGCACTGTGTACTGTTCCAGGCAAAACTACAAAGTTCTTATGGCTGTGGAGTGTAGTCTATTGTGGGGTGGTGGTGTAGAATAAATGAGCAAATAGTTATGATCGTTTCCTATTGTCAAAAATGCCATAAGAAAAGTATGATGTGAGAGATATGTAAGTCTATACTTACAGTGAGGAGTGGTACGTGAGCCTATATTCTAGGCAAAGGAAACTTCAAGTGCCAAAGCTGGGGCCCCATGCTCCGAACGTGGACCTGGGAGACCGTGAAACTAGGGAAGGAGATGTAAACACTGGTGGCCTGTGGGGAGGTTGGGGCTGCCTGGGAGAAGCTAGAGAGAACTTTATGGGGCAAGGAGAACATGTATTTTGATTAGGATGTTCGCTACCTGGATCAAAACGGCGAAGAGCCAAGCGCGGTGGCGCGCACCAGTAATCCCGAAACTGTAAAAGGATGAGGCAGGAGGATCCCAAGTTTAAACCAAGCCTGGGCAATTTAGCTATTGAGACCCTGTCTCAAATTTTTTTTTTGTTTTTAAAGGGCCAGGAGAGAGCGCAGTATGAAGGTCCTGGATTCAGCGAAGAGAAGTGCTGTGTACTATATTTAACTCTCAAAAAGAAACAAAATAGGAGCTGGGCAGAGAGCTCAGTGGTAGAGCGCTTGCCTCGCATGCACAAAGCCCTAGGTTTCATCCCGTTCTCCGCAAAATAAAGTTGCATGCGATTTCAACGTGGCTAATGAGGTCTAACTAGCGCCGTCATCGGTTCGTTAAAAAACAAAAAGGAAGGGCCCATGCTTGGGAAAGCAACTGAGATGGGAAAATCGTTCTGCGGCGCTTTCCAGCCTGCCCAGGCCGTGGGGGACGATCTTTAGGGAGAAGGTCCCAAGGGTGGTGGTGGCTAGAAGGGGTCTCCACGAGCAGAGGGCACGCAGGTCGGTCTGGAGGGTAGAGCGAGCGAGGCGAAGACTGACACTGCTGACTTCGCCCCCTGACACTCGGGTCGTCAGGAGCAACTTCGGAACCGCGCCTACGGCCCCGCCTTTCGCACTGCGGCCAGGTGGCAGTTGGGGGCGCGACCAGCCCGTTTGATTTCCCGCGGCCGGTGGAAAGGGGGGAGGAGGGAGGGGGAAAAAGCCGTCGGCCAACTGGTTGTGCCTGGTGCAGTCACGTGACACTAGAGGGGCGGGGCCCAGGTGTACTTACGGGGCCGCGGGCGGGGGCCTCCGCTGCGGTGCGAAGTCCGGGAGGCACGGGCTGCGTGGCGAGGATTGGGCTGTGGCCCGGAGGCGGGGCCTTCGCGCGACGCAGCGGCGGACTGCGATTGGCCTAGGCCTGGGACCCGCTGCCGGCGTGCGGGCGAGGCTCGGGGCGCGAGGACAGAGCGGGGCGGCGGGTCCGCGAGCTAGGGGGAGGGGCCGGGGCGGTGGCGGCGGTGGAGGAGGTGGTGGCAGGGGCCGGTACTGGACCAGGAGGGATGAGCGAGGCGGCGGCGGTGGTGGCGACAGTGGCCACCGCGGCGACGGTGCCCGCGACGGCGGCAGGGGTAGTAGCGGTGGTGGTACCGGTGACCGCGGGAGAACCGCAGAAATCAGGCAGCGGGGCAGGTGGCGGCGGGGGCGTAGCCGCCTCAGGCCCCGCTGCTGGGACCCCCTCGGCGCCGGGCTCCCGTATCCCCGGCAACACGGCCACGGCAGCCTCGGGGACCCCCGCGCCCCCAGCCCGGAGTCAGGCGGACAAGCCGGTGCTGGGTGAGGGCGGACGCGCGCCGGGCTGGTCTGAGGGTCGGCGGGCGGGGGCGGGGGCGGGGGCGGGGGAGTCCGGCGAGCCGAGGGGGCCGAGACCGGATGGGAGCTCCAGACCCAAGCGGATTCTGCTGGTGGGAAACCCGCAGTGCTTTCCCAGACGGGAGGGCGGAGTGGCAGATCCAGCTGAGGCCCTGGGGTAGAGCACAAACCCTCAGCGCCCGGCCACGCCCCCGGGGCGGGAGACTTGGCCTCCCAGACTTTGAGGAGTAGGTAAACCGCTGAAGCCTGGGAAGCGGGTTACCGGGACCCTTACATCGGGAAGGCTAGGAAAGTTTTGAGTTATGACCTGAGGGTGGCGCTCCAAGGGCCAGGTGAGTACCCGGTTTCGGTGAAGGGCCGGGATTTGTAGAATGTGAAGAACATGCCTTAGTTTTGAAAAGCCCAATCTACCCCCACCCCGTGTGGGTAATTGTGTTTGGTAGAATGGGGATGAGGATACTTAAAAGCTGTTAGTGAAACATTATTGCCTCGAAAGTAAGCTTAATAGGCAGGGTAGATTTTGAAGTGTATCACAATTCAGTCCAGTTGTATCTCTTCCCCTCATCTCACTGTCCCCACCGCATCTCTGCCTGGCAGCAATCCAAGTCCTGGGCACTGTCAAATGGTTCAACGTCCGGAATGGTTACGGCTTCATCAACAGGTATCCAAAGACCCGGGGGAGGGGGGAAAGGATGGGAGTCTTCACACCTGACAGGACTGGACGCCTTCCTACTCATCTCTACCCTGCCAAGGCATGTGGTTGCACTGTCCAGCTGACTCTGGTTGAAAGTCTTTAACCATGGGCACAAATGTGTGCTTAGTGGAGGGTGAAGTGGCCTCCACATCTTCAAGGGCAGCACAGGATTAAGGATCCAGGAACTTGACAAACGAGGCTCTGATCTTCCCACCTTCAGCTCCTCTGTCTTGCCTTCTGGAATAGCTTTATTATTTTTAGTTTTGCTGTGCCTTTGGGGCAGACTGTATGGGCTTCTTTGTACCTCAGGGCACTGGGTTGGAATCCTCACCGATTTCCTGTTAAGGGCAGCACTCACTGCACCCTTGACTCATCTCCCTTAAAGAGCCCAGGCTCATTTGAATCCCCCACCTGATGGGACTGAGACTGGCCTGGGAGTGGAAGGAGGAGAGCTAACCCAGCCAGAGACTGCTTGTAAGAGGCTGTAGTGGTGAATTCTGAGCAGAGCCAAGTCTCTCCCAGTGGGGCCTTCCCCAGCCAGGGCACCCTGCCCAGCCAAGCCCTCCTGGGAGGCCTGGTTGCCTCTTAGCAGGCTGACCTTTATGCAGATCCAAGTGCTTTAAAGCTAGAACATTTGCTCTGGGGAAGGCAGGTTCCTGCAAGGAGTGCCATTTCTTTCTCCTGCCCTATTGGGGTTCTGGCATAAACCAAGGTAATAGATAAGATAGCAATAGACAATGGGTATTTCCTTTTCTCTCGCTCTTGGTCCCTCTGCATGTCAAGAGGGAGCCTGACCCTGGGTTCATCTCCAAGCTGAGAATGAATGTAAGGTTTTGTGGCTATTTGGAGCAAGTCTCCTTCTCAAAGTTGTTGTGCACCCCAGTCCTGTCCTTGCTTTCTTCTTCCTTAAGAGAAGGAAGGAGACTGGAATTTTCCAACCCCAGTAGCATTGGGGGGGGGGGTGTTGGCCAGGGGCAGTTGTGCCCAGCACTGGCAGGTTCTAAGATGCCCTTAGGTTAGAAGGTAGAACACTTGCCAGGGAAAGAGCTGTCCCACCTCTTTCAAGGTGCCTTTGACTTCTGCCTTTGCCCTTTCCTCATGAAGTGCAGGTTTTTCACTGAGGGTTTAGGTGTGCTTTATACCAGCTCCTGGGGGCCCTGTCTACTCCCAAGTAACAAATGCTGGAGAGGATGGGCCTGTCAATCTTAGGCAGCCAGGGAGCCCTCAGTGGAGCTGAGTGCGTTACCAAAGACACCCCCTTAACGACCCATCCTGTTCTGCAGGAATGACACCAAGGAAGATGTCTTTGTACACCAGGTAAGAGCTAGGATGACTTCCTAAGGGGAGGAGCTGGCCCTCTCTTTGAAGGCCTTTACCATTACCCTAGGCTGCACACTATATGTTGCTCTTGGCTTTACCTCACAATGGCCTGCCCATGCAGAAACAGCTGCCCTCCCATCTGCCTCAGGAGCTGGTATCACCCACCATTAGCCCCACTTGTGTTGAATTAACTGACCTGCTCTGTCAGAATTGTGTGTGTTGTCCTTCGGGTATGACATGCTCACCACCTACTAGGACCTGTTAACAGCACAGGAAGGAATGAGACAGTTTTCTGAGGGAAAGAACACAGGCCAGAGAAGGTTGGGTACAGTGGTTCTCAAAGTGTGGTCCCTGCACCATCAGCAGCATCACCTGACATCGAAATTCTCAGGCCCTGCCCCAAGCTACCGAATCAATCAGACTTTGGGCCGGGCACTGATTCAACAAGCTCCCAGGTGACTCTGATGTGCTAGTTTGAGAACCACTGCTTTGGTGGAAAGAGCTCTCAGTGGGATTGAGGTAAGAAGCACAGTATGTTTTACCCAATTTTCAACTTATTACCATCTCTGCTTTTTGTTTTCTTTTGAGTTCCTATTTCTTGCCTCACTTTTGAAGTCCCTCAGGGGTAAGGGAGGTGGGAGAGAGCATCCGGGGGACAGTGGTAACTTTACAGTGGATTCCCAGGCCCCTAGTTTATGATGTTTCCCCTACTCAAGTCTTTTTTGGTGCTGGGGTTCAGACCTAGGGCCTTGTGGATATTAGGCAAACACTCTACCACTGAGCTATAACTGCAGCCCCTTCCCTACTGAACTTTGACCATTTTTGTGCTCTGCTCTCCAGGCACAGACCCCAAGTAAAGTGTTGAAAAGAATGGAATTGGGTGGTGGACAAAGCAGGGGTGAGAGAGACTCCAGTCTTGCTGTCCTCACCTTTCTCATGTCCTTTCCCCCAAACAGACAGCTATAAAAAGAAACAACCCCAGGAAGTTTCTGCGCAGTGTTGGCGATGGGGAGACTGTGGAGTTTGATGTCGTGGAAGGAGAGAAGGTTTGGGGCCTGCTGTGAAGGCCAGAGTTTGCCAGGCTTGTGGGAGGGTGGCTGGAGGTCAGCCCAGGCTTTGATCTTCTGGGGTCAGATCTGCCTGTGGCCAGGGGAACTGTGCTGTTTCCTCTCATCTGAATGTCCTCAAGAATATGTCCCTGCCCTGTCACCAGTCAGTGGTGTTTGAATTTCTTCTCTGTAGAGTCCACCAAGCCTGTCCCCATGTTAGCCCTCTGAGGTGAAAGATGCACAATGACTGCTAGCCCTTTCTCTACCTCACCTATAGTCTTTAAACTCTGGGGGGACTGTAGCACTTATTGCAGAAGGACAAACTGCTCCTCAGATGGATACAAACTCATTCTGTTACCCACTTTGGGGAGTGGAGAGAGAAGTCACAGTTAAAGGAATCACAGGAAAGCTGGAGAAGGGATCTAGTATGGAAGAAGGGGGACACTCCAATGATCCTAGTGAGTTTGGGGTTGTACATTTGTTGGGGAGAGTTCTCACTGCTCCTCCTCCCCCTCTCCAGGGTGCAGAAGCTGCCAATGTAACTGGGCCCGGAGGGGTGCCAGTGAAGGGTAGCCGCTATGCCCCCAATCGACGTAGGTTCCGCCGATTCATCCCCCGGCCTCGCCCAACTGCCCCACCACCCATGGTGGCAGAGGGCCCCTCTGCTGGGACAGAACCTGGCAGTGAAGGAGAGCGAGCTGAGGACTCTGGGCATCGGCCCAGACGACGGCGCCCACCACCCTTCTTCTATCGACGGCGGTTTGTGCGAGGCCCTCGGCCCAACCAACAGCACCCCATAGAGGTGAGGGAAAGCTGCAGTAAGGGGGCCAGATCCCCAAGTTCTGGAAAGTGGGAGTTGGCAAGGCAGAGATCAAAGGGAGTAGAAGTGAGAGCCAGGAAGAACTGGGGATGATCTGGCCTCTGGACAGCTGGGGTCCCACAGCCCACCCAGGCCTTTGTACATTTCCAGGGCACTGATGGGGTAGAATCCAAAGAGACAGCTCCACTGGAGGGGAATCAACAGCAGGGAGATGACCGGGTGCCCCCACCCAGATTCCGGCCCAGATACCGAAGGTAAGACTCCCTTTCCATGGCTGTGTTCCTCTTCACTGTCCCACAGTGAGCCAGACAGCAAGGGGAAGAGTGCTAAGAAGAACCTGGGGCTCATGGTGAGAGGTGGCCAGGGGGAAGCAGGACTTGCGGGCCTGGGAAAGCTGGGGAAGCCCTGGGGAGGGAGGCAGGCTACCCTGGGTTCCCTGGTCCCTTCAGGTTCCCTGGTCCCTTCTGCTGTCCCCTAGGCCTTTCCGCCCCAGGCCACCCCAACAGCCAACCACAGAAGGTGGGGATGGTGAGACCAAGGGCAGCCAAGGCCCCACTGATGGTTCCCGGCCTGAGCCCCAGCGCCCACGAAACCGTCCCTACTTCCAGCGTCGACGGCAGCAGCCCCCTGGCCCCCGGCAGCCCACAGCCCCAGAGGTGAGAATCTTGGGGTTTCTAAAATTCTTTGGGGATGGGATGAAAGGAAAGGCTGGGACCATTTCCCCCTTTCTTATCCTTTTCTTTTCCTTTCCTACTCTGCTGCTTTGTCCCTCCCTTCCACTGGCCCTGGCCCTTTGCAGTTTGCTGGGTCCACTGCCAGCAGGCACCAACACCCACCCCATGAAACTCCAGCAGAGGCAGTCAAGGCATGTCACCCCTTGTAGAACCCTCCGCCAGCTCCACTTGGAGCCACAGTATGGGCTTATTAGGGGTGTGAACTGTAAAAATTGGTCGGGCAGGAAGGGGAAGGGAAAAGACAAGTTAAATTGGAAGCTCCAGAGTACAAGAGTCTCAATTGGCCACCACTCTTCTCTTTAGACCTCAGCCCCCATCAACAGTGGGGACCCCACTACCACAATACTGGAGTGATTCCAACTCAAAGGACACCCAGAGCTACCATCTAGTGAGTGGCTGCTCCTCTCAGGGTGGGTGGCCAAGAAGGCAGGGGACTGGGTCCTGGTGATAAGCTATCATTCATGATTTGTCCATTTCTTTTGCTCTCTTAGGTATCTGCCAGTTTTTCCAACTGACCTACCCAGCACCCTCCTGCCCCTTTCCATAATTCATGACATCAAAATACTGGCTTTTCCCCTTTTCTTTGAGACTCAGGAGGGCTAAAGCAAAAGGCTTTTGCTTTTGCTTTTTTTTTTTTTTTTCCCTCTCCCCTACCAAAGAGTTAAAGGAAAGGATCCGTCCTTATTGTTCAGAGGCATCAACTCCCACCCTAAGTCAGGCTGAGAAGGAACCAGCCAGCTCTTACCTCCTGGTTGTTTTTCCCCGTTCCAGTTTATTTTTGTTTCCTCTTGACCCCTACCTCTGAAGCCATTTAATGAACTGTCATGTGCCACCTGAGCCTCCAGTAAAAACAAAAACAGGCTTTCTTGTCTTGGTCTCTGCTTCTTTCATGTTAGAGAGACTTTAAGTCGGTTCAGAACCACAGACTGAAGGTGGGGTGGGAGGAGGGGACATGAGCAGTGGGCAGGGCTGGGTCTTGACTCCTTGCTCCAGTTTCCCTAGCTGTGCACCTTTGACAAGAACCTTTACCACTGAGATTCACTGTCCCTGCCTGTTAAATGGGGATGGCCCTCCCCTGCAGTGCCCGGTGCTTGCAGCTAATTTATTAAGCATTTACTATTAAGTCAATGAATAGAAACAAGGTAGGGCATGAGTGACAGTGTTCAAACTCTAGAGAATTTTTTTTTTTTGGTACTGGGGATCGAACTCAGGACCTTGCAGCTTCGAGGCAGGTGGCAGAACCACTAAGCTAAATCCCCGGTCCCTCTAGAGAATTCTGAGGCCTCCAGCAGAGGCAGGACAGAGGAAGAGGGGCAGGCGAGGTTGTCCCTGTCTCAGCCCATCCTCCAGTGCCTTCACGACAGGACACTTGTCTTCATACAGTGACTTTATAGATGAATCTATATATACACATTTAAAACAGCAGCCCATTGGTTTCTGCTCCCTACCCCTTCTTCAAACATATACAAAAATATCCAAAGGCTCTTCCTAGCCACTGTTTACAGGCAGCCTTTCAATTCCCCTCTTGCCCATAGTTGGTCAAAAGCTGTGGTGTCCTTCCAGCATGGGAGTAGAGGAAAGATCTGGGGGCCCTACTTGGCAGGAGCATCCGAGATAGGGCCCCAAGGCTGGAGGCAGGGGCCTGCTGTCCCTTCTTGCCACATGTAAGTACACACTATTGTGTTCCCTCTCACCCCAGAAAGCCAAGTTGCCAGGGAGGGAGGAGAGGCTAGACTTTGGGAGGGTGTGTCCTTTGGCCTGGAGGGGTCAAGACAGAACCCCCTTCACCCAGAGTCTTATGTGGCAAGAATTTGGTGAAAGTGCCAAATCGTGGGAGGAGTCCAAGGTGGTGGGAAATTTGACTTCTTATGTCCTGCCCTCTGCCTCCATTTGTCCCACTAATGAAGCCAGTCTAGAACCTCTACTCCTGCAGTCCCCCTTCTCTAGAGGGAATAAGACTATTCTGGAGCTGAGTCTAGAAGGAAAGGGGAGAGGAGAATGGCCTACCCCAATGCCCTCAGCCTAACCATGACATATAAATAATCCAGGAGAATCACACAAGGGGAATGAGGGGGTGCTCAGACCACCCTTTCCTTCAGCTTCCCAATTCTCCCAGGCTGTAGGGGTTTCCTCCACCCTGGAAGTAATGGGGAAGAGAGGGTTAAAGTGCTGCAGAGGAGAGGAGGGGGTCTCAGGTGGAGAAAGCTGGCTCTCTCACCCTGGCCTTGTCCCTCAGTCATTCTCATCTGGCCCTAAGTACTCGAGTTCCGTGCTGGGTTTCACCTCTTGCTCTAAAAGAGAGGGTGTCCGGCGGAAGGCAGCTGAGATCTGGTCAAACGTCCGGCCTCGGGTTTCAGGCACTTTTAAGAAGGTGAAGATGAAGAAGCCAAGCAGGAGAACCGCAAATAGAAGGAAGACGTAGGGACCCATAGCATCCTGGGACAGGTGGAGAAAGAGGTGTTGACAGAGTAGGGTGGAGAGGGAAGGGTTGGTGTCAGGCATGTTGAGAACTAAAGACCCTCAGGGGGCTGGGGATACTGCAGAAAGCAAGTGCCTCCCTTGAAATGACCAAAAACAAGAATTTACACTGAAAAAAGGATGTTTTGAACTGCAACTCTCTTCAGTTTCTTCCCTCTTCACCATCCTGAGTTACTGCACTCAGATTCTCAGCCATTTGTAGTATTCATATGAAATGTATAATTTTATTCCTGGTCTAAGTGATACCACTGGTTTGTTTCAAAGACATCTCTGTTGCCATCCAATCTATTTCCAACTCTTTCTTTCCTTTGATTCCAAAATGACCCAAAAATCAACTGTCTGGGGCAGGGGTGTGTGGTTCCTGACTGGAAAGCAAGTGGGCCCTGCTCTGGCCTCGGGTGAGACTGGGGCAGGGACAGGGGACCTACCGCAACATACTGGAAACCCATGCCAATGATGAAGTTGCACGTCCAGTTGGAGAAACCAGCCACAGTCATGGCTGCCGGCCGAGGTCCCTGGCTGAAGAGCTCAGCCACGATGAACCAGGGGATAGGGCCAGGGCCAATCTCGAAGAAAGCGACAAAGCCAAAGATGGCGACGATGGAGACGTAGCTCATGGCTGGAACCCGCTCCTGGGTACCAAGCAGGGAGGGTGGGGAATCTCGTTCAGGCCTTTCTGAATCTTCCAGGCACCCAGAGAACTAAATCTATCCATCCCAGCAGCTTGTGGGGGACCTGCTACCCTGGGCTAGAACAGGCCCTGGAGCATTTCTGAGCACTGACATTGCTGGCTATTCCAAACAGATCCAAGGCACAGGTAACATTCTAATCCCTCAGTTCCATGATGGTTGATTCCCCATTAGCTCTAAGACTCAGTTCTTAGGAATTATTATTCATGAGGCTTGACAAGGCCTTTGTCTCCTGGCTGCCAGACTTGTACTACAGCAGTCTCTGAAAGCAAGCCCCAGTGCAGCCTAGGTCCTTCAGGGGCATAGATCATAGTTCCTGACCCTGGAGCCAAGCACCCATATTCGAATCACATAGGCCAGCCCTAGGATTGAAGGGATCTATGCTAAGGTATGGCCCTTGCTGGCCACAGAGCCTCTGGGGGCCATTCCCATGGGTTGGACTGGTGGTCTCCCAGCCCCCAGGCCTCACCAGCAGAAGTAGAGCCACAGTCATCAAGATGGCACAGGCACACATGCCTGCCAGGCCCAGGAGATGGAGTGTCCGGCGCCCAGCCCGCTCCACCAGGAACACCTGCAGAGAGAGTCAGGGCTTGGCAGGGGGCCTTCAGAATGAATGAAGTGGGAGGGACTGGGAGGGTGGGGACAATCAAGAATAGGACTTCTGGGGGCCAGGGATTTAGCTCAGTGGCACCCTGCCTGCCTCGCAAGTGCAAGGTCCTGAGTTTGATCCTCGGTAATGACAACAAAAAAAGAATAGGACTTCTGGGACACCCAGGGATGTGAAGCCAATTGCACAGGCCATTCTGGAGGTGAGCAGTTACCGAGACCAAGGTGAAGACAGTGTTGACCACACCGGCTCCTATGGTGGCATAGGCTGGCTGCCCTACCCCTGCCGATTCAAAGATGCTGGTTGAATAATAGAAGACCTAGAGGTGAGGAAGAAGAAAAGGTGATGGCAAGGATGTCCTCATCTCCACTTCTGCCACACCAAGCTGGACTGATCCTGAATGTTAATGAAAGAGGCCTGTTCCCTTCTCCCCTCCCCTGGCCTCCTGCATGCCCCATGCCCAGCCTGAAGCCTACACCATACGTACGGCATTGATGCCTGAGAGCTGCTGGCTCAGCTGCAGCACAACTGCAATGACCAGGGGCTGCCGGTGGGTGTGGCTGCCCAGGAGCTGGAATAGGGACAGTGGCCGCTCACGCTCCAGCTTTCGCTTCTCCTCTTTCAGCTCAGCCAACACATGGGACACATCAGCCCAGCCTGTCAGGCGCTTCAGACCTGGGGGTGGGGAGGGTCAGGCCTGAGGGGGCCTGAGAGGCCAGATGCTAGCAAGATGGGGGTGGAGGCATGAGCCTGGGCTAGATGCAGGGTGAGAGCTCACTCTTTCGGGCAGGTCCCTCCAGGTTCCGGATAATGTAGAGATAGCGGGGACTCTCAGGGCAGAAGGGCAGCAGGACCAGCTGCAGGAGGGCAGGTAGCACTGTGATTCCCAAGAGTAGTGGCCACAGGGTGGCAGTGCCCAGCATGGTCTCCAAGCCCAGCACCTGTAAGAGGAAGTTGGGGAAGAGGGCAGTTGACTCAGGCCCCCATGTTACCCTGAAGGTCCACCTCAACCACTGTCTAGCCCCCCACAAGGCCTGGCCTGGTCACCTGCGCGATCAGAATGCCAATGACGATGGCCAGTTGATTGAGTGTCCCCAAAGCTCCCCGAAGGTGAGTGGGGGCAATCTCCCCCACGTACATGGGCACCAGCCCAGACGTTAGCCCTGGGTAAGAGGGAGAAGAGAGGACTGAGAGTAGCTGCCCACTCCCATCCAGAAACCCATGCATGGTGGACAGTAAGGCTCAGGGCAGGGCTGTGGTGCCCATGGGTACCTGAGTAGGCGCCAATGAGGAACCGTCCAAGAATGAGGATCTCATAGGAGGCAGTGGCTTTGGCCAGGCCCATGAGGGTGCCCCCCAGAACTGCCAGGACATTGTTGGCCAGCATAGCTCTTTTCCTGGTAGAAGGAGTAAGACTATGTCAGAGCACCCGTGCTTTAGTTCCCTTCCTACTGCCCCACCGTGCCCTCCAGCCCCATACCTTCCCAGCCACTGAGACAGGGTGCCAATGAGGAAGGAGGAAATCATGCCGCCCACAGAGAAGATGGCCACGGAGAGAGCCCAGAGAGTGGTGAGGGTGCCTGGTGGGATGGAGCCAGGTCCCTCGGGCCCCTGCCTTCCCAGCCAGGTCTCATTGTAGCTCTGTTCAATCACCTAGGCGGATAGCAGAGGAGTGATTTCCTGCAGATCCTTTCCTTCCCACCACCACAGGGCTCCCCTGTCCTCCTTCCTGGGGTATCCCTGCCCTGTCCTGCCCTGCAGGCCCCTCACCTTCTGTGGGGCATTGATGACCCCAATGTTATAGCCAAACTGCAGGGAGCCAAGCACAGCTGAGAATACAGCTAGGACCAGGGTCCCAGTCATTTGCTGCTGAGGGGGTTCCCCATCCTGGACAGGCAGAAGCAGAGAGATGAATGTCACATGAATCAAACTTTCTTCCCTTCCTCTAGGAGCTCCCTTCCAGTTGGAGCCTGAAGATGCTGGGAACCATCCAACATGCTGGGTTAGAGAAACTGGGCCATATTAGGAATTGCACAAAGATCTCAATGTAAACAGGACCACGAGGGAATCCAACAGGAACCAGGGCAT